TACAAACCGTTATGGCGTTTGAGATAATTTTTCTTCCTTTAGCTAAAATGCAAAAAAACCCAAAAACATTTTGGGTTTCTTTGGGGGTGGGAAAGTACTTCTCATTAATTGCAAAAGCCAAGTATCTCTCAGTATTTACATGAGCTCTGGCTGCTCCCAACGTTTGATATTCCCAGATGTTTTCAGATGCTACCACACATTCACCCAATGCTCTTCAAGTCCGAAGAACATCCATCCACCTTTCAGCTTGGCATACATTTCTATCAGTCCCAGATAGATTCTCCCTGGGTTCATCTGCAAATCCTGCTTGCCCTGGCACAAACCATTTGTTTAAGAAGTAAAAAGGTGAAGTTGCACTCAAAAGCTCTCCCCAGACCATTGCAACATTGTCTTCCTCCCATCATTTCTTACTCTGCATCAAAAGCAATCTTTCCCCTACTTCTACTGGCAGCCTGCATGTGGTACTTCATTATGTAGGAGGCAATTATTCTACTTCAAAGTCTAATTGAAAGAGCCAGTCAACTAATGCAGTAGTTGAGCCAAAGGGAAAATACGGATATGCAACTGAATTATCAGTGATACCAACACAGAATTTGTCCAGTAGGTTGCAGAAAAATATAATCAATTATTTTAACTGTAAACAGTTTACCAAGTTTATTCTAACTTGGTAAACTATTTCCTCACCCCTGATCATTTCATTCTTTCATTCTGACTCTAAGTTTTATTACAGTGCTTTTATGCATGTATACTGCAACGCAGGGGTGAAATCTACTTATGTTCCCAACCGGTTCGGAAGTGCACGCACCCTGCACGCATGCAGACTCTGTGCATGCGCAAATCCTTCTCCGTATGCGCAGAGGGTAAAAAACAGGTTACTTCCTGATTAAAACCAGGAAGTAATGATGACCGGGTGGGTGGGTGGAGCCTCACGTCGCCATCGCTACTGGTTGTCCGAACCACCGGCCGCCATCGCTACCAGTTGTCCGAACCACCGGCTGCCATCGCTACCGGTTGTCCGAACCACCGGCCGCCATCGCTACCAGTTGTCCGAACCACCGGCTGCCATCGCTACCGGTTTGGCCGAACTGGGCCGAACTAGGCGCATTTCACCCCTATGCAACTGTTACATGGAAAACAGACTTCAAAATCTTCGTAAGAATGTTGTTGGAAGTCTCAGACATAACATATGGTGAATGTACATCTTTCTCAGTTCGAGCCACGTTTAAATGTTTAAAGTCTAAGAGATTTTGTTAGGAGTCATGTATGGGAGAAGCATTTGTGTTTTGTTAAAAATTGAACTGAACAATGGAAAGTGCATGGGAGCTTCCAAAAGGAGGGAATTCTTTATCTAATGTTCCTTTGGAGACAAAACAGCTGTTTCTGCAAATTCAGAATGTAAAAATCAAGAAAATCTATCTTGTAAAATTCAGGAACTTGGACAGGAGGAAGTCGGTAATGAGGAGAGGATGTTAAAAGGGAGAGAACCCTTCACCTGCTTTATCCATACATGTTGGGGGAATTCAATGTTAAAGACTCCAGATGTTGAGCAAAATATGGATTCAGAGGAGTTTCCCTCAGTTACATCCATTTGCAGGCTCACGAGAGAGCAGTTTGATTTTCTGCCAATCCTGTTTTTGCATAATTGCAAATGCAAGATGATTATGGAGTCAAAGTTCCTTTCAAACAATTACTAAGATGAGAGACATCATCATCTGCCTGGTAAAATTCAACAGGGATTGATCATTTGGGAGTTTAAAATGTGAAGTATTTCTTGGTCCAGAATCTTAACTGAGCTACCTCAGTTTTCCTCAGTCTTTTGCTCTCTAAATACATTGTGAGTACATCTCACAGAATTGCCAAGCTGTATAGTTGTTGAGAATTCTAAGGAATTTTACTTTAACCTATTTGAAGGACATCTGGATGAGATAGTTGGAAAGACAATTTGATATTGGTTATGGACATTTCTTATAGTCAAGCAAGAATGTGGGAATGGAATTTCCTCAAGAGCCAGGTCAACAGGGAAGATGGTTCTTTTTAGATAGGATATATGAACATATTTTTTCTAAGCTATTCAAACAGATATAACTAATTGGAGGGCAGACTCTATTAAAGGCATAATGGGAATTTCATTGCAAATGATTTTGCTTTGCAGCGTTTCTGGGCCTAGTTTCAGCTCTTGCATAATTGGATAATTGCCAAGACCATTAGAAATAGTGTCAGGCTACGCATCCTATAATCATATGGCTTTCTTCCAGTGTAGCCTAATGATCTGTTTTGGGCTCCAAATCATAGTTAACTGGAACCTTTAAGCAAATGGCTTATAGCTTCCATGTCATCTACTCTGGAATCGAAAGGCCCAAAGGAAGGCATGTTCTAAAGTTTTCTTCAGTCAGAAATTGGCCATAAGTGATTTTAAGAATTAATTATTACATGGAACACTGACATCATTTAACAGTTTCCATATGACTTCTAGTGAAAACAGAGGAAAATATACTGTGGGATTCCTTAAAACAGAATTTACTCTGGTAGACCTCTCCAAGTGGATCTCTAGAACTAGATAAATCTTCTATACTTGTGAAGATAAAATCAACTTTTTTTTTTAATGGTCATCCCAATTCTGGCTCATTCTGTAGCAATTTCAGTTGCATTTGGGGTCAGCAAAAGCTGCATGTTTATCTTCAAGAGGCATGCCATTATTTTGTTTAAAATCTATAATTTAACTCTCTGTTACTAATTGGATTGCATTTGTGATGTAATAAATATAATAAATGATTTTGCAATCTAAAAGGCAGAAATAATAGAGCATATATTTAAATCAATAAATTATCTTGTTCGAGCATTGCTGACTCTGTGAATATGACAGAATCAAACTATCACCCAAACTAACTGACTTTGCTTATACTTTTATCAGAAACCCAGCTACATCTAGCAATAGCAATAGCATTTAGACTTATATACCATGCAACACAGTGCTTTACTACACCCTCTGGGTAGTTTATATTTAAGACAGAGTAGTCTTCCTCGTCAACCCTCCATATTAGTTGGGAACTGAAGACTCAAAACATCAAAAACACAGCAGACAGAGGAAGACTGCTGTATAGAGTTATAAATTATATGTATCACCTTAACCTGATCCATATAATTAGGGGCTGAAAGCACATGTGATCTGTTTCTTACAATGTTAGATGAGTGTTATTGCCAAGTGGAAATTGTTATCTTAGTTTTAAGTATCAGACAACAAAACTTATAAGAATCTTGTTAATTGGGGGAGGGGAAATATCACCATCAACCAATATGCTTTTCTAACCAAAAATAGCTGGCTCCATGAAAAGCTGAATGGCTGCTTGATTTCTGATGAAATATGTGGAAAGTTAACTACATTAGGTCCAAAAAGAAAATGTTACTATGTAGAATGGTTGCATTATGAATTTAGCAAATTTACTAAAAAGGTAAATCACCCTTGGTGAAGAAACACACATGGTTCTTTCATTTGCCATTGATTATTTGAAATCGGCATACTTTTAGATACAACGTTGTGCATTGCGCCTCAACTTCAGCTCACTCTGTGCCTCCATTGAGACATAATGTTTGCAGTAAATCTACAATCTCTCAATGATGTGTTTGCAATAAATCTACAATCTCTCAACAATTACGGTGCACATGGAAGGGTGATTTAACACTGTCTCTCACTCCTCAGGGTCTCCGTAAAACTCACTTCCTCACAGTTACTAAGAGACAAGCTTCCATTATCATCAAATGCTTGGGGTCAAAAGCAGTGGTGAAATTCAACTTTTTTTACTATCGGTTCTGTGGGCGTGGCTTGGTGGGTGTGGTGTGGCTTGGTGGGCGTGGCTTGGCGGGCATGGCAGAGGAAGGATACTACAAAATCCCCATTCCCTCCCCACTCCTGGAGGGAAAGGATATTGCAAAATCTCCATTCCCACCCCACTCTGGGGCCAGCCAGAGGTGGTATTTGCCAGTTCTCCGAACTGCTCAAAATTTCCACTACCGGTTCTCCAGAACCTGTCAGAACCTGCTGGATTTCACCCTGGGTCAAAAGCAATCGCAACTGAGTATCATTTTAAAATTGGTATCGTAAGAGTAATAAATACCCTTTTCATATACTGAATTTCATTGCTTCCAGGAAAGGTAATCAAGATATGTGAACTACGTTTACACTTTTAAATACTGAAATTCATTTGGCCCTTAGAAACTAGTTGGGATAGAAGGAATTCCTTCCCCAATCCCCAAATAAACGACAACCCAGTGTATTAGTTTTATTGATCTTTCACTGGAGATCTGAGAAGGTTTCTATATATTTAGAATTTATGCAGAATAGAAGAAGGGGTACTGGACTTGGAAATGAATGTCATTTTGAAACATTGTAAATATGCAGTATATTATACTAAACCAAGGTTATACTGGAGAAGGTAAATTAGGGGGATGTTTTGGTCAACCTCACCCCCAATATTTTTTCCCTTGGGAAACCATCATCCAAAACATTCATTGCTTGATGTTGTGTATTGATGCACTTTCAGTTTCTTATGGCAGAGGAATCACAGTTGGATGACTTAAACGCTCCTATCCTAAGCTATTACTACAATATGGCTGAGTGGATGAATACTGTCATCAAAAGACTCAAGTGCAAATCTCAGCCTTGCCGTGAGCCCGTAATTTATCTTGGAAGGAATATCTGTCAGCCCAATTCTATTCAACCCTTAAGAAGTTCAGTTCAACAAGTCTTTTACATCCGTAAGTGGACATAAGGACATAAGGTTGAATTTCTGTTTTCCAGACACAATGTGAAATACTCCACAAGATGAGATGAGAGGGAAATGGGATGAGTTATTTCAAAGCATAAGCAGATGAAAATATCTGTATAATGTTACATCATTTTCAGCTCTAAAAGCTGTGTTTTGCAGGATTTTCCCCTTAAATCAAAACAAAGTACCCAAGAAAAACAGGAAGGATTATCAATCATGGTGAAACAACTGAGAAGATAGGCAAAATCAAGCTTTTATGTACATTTAACATCTCTAAAATACGTTCAACTTGAATAGTACAGTATTAATATTAACAATCCTTATAGCTAGTGCAGCCACAGTATTATACAATTTGCAGCAATCGAGGGGTGGGAAGTGGGGTACACACTACTGGCCATCTATTAAAGACAATTGACAGACATTTGGACTTCTCTGGTATGTAGACACTTACAATACCACGAAGCCCAAGGGGACAAAAACAACAGGAAAACACCCAGCAGTAGCATCTATTTACATGCCTGCAATGTGAAGCAGTTCTGAAAAACAATCGCAGCATTAGGCAATACAAGAAAATGAACTTTGTTCCAATAATTACTATTTTCTAGCAGCATAGCCATTCCTAGCTCAGATAGCGTTCTATTTTGATAATGTAAACGTTTCATTCAAAAACATTCTGTTCTTACTGGATGGTGCTTGAGACCTGTAGTATGATTTTTTTAAAGAAGAGGAATCTGGAAATTAAGAAGAGAAAGTGCTGAGAATGCTCCATGCTTTCTTGTCCCATAAGCCATTATGCTCAGATGCTCGCACAACCTCTTTTGGAGGAACATCATTATTCTGCCCTAGTCAACAGAACAGGGGTCCTCCAAATTAGACAACTTTTAAGACTTGTGGACTTCAACTCCCAGAATTCCTCAGCCATCCGAGGCTGGCTGAGGAATTCTGAGAGTTGAAGTCCACAAGTCTTAAAGTTGCCAAGTTTTGGAGAGACCCCTGCTATAGATGATGGATATTCCCATATTTCTATTCTAGCCACACCAATTAAGCAGTTTCTTGAAAGTATTTCATTTGGCTCATTTATAATGACTTTCTTGCATATGAGGTGAGCCACTACACCAGATCTGAATTTCTTCCTACCTCTCAATGGTGAGAATGGTAGGGCAGTTACTTGTTACTATAGCTTAGAACCATCTCATGCCTTGCTCCATGTTCTTCCGTGACATATTTGAAAGCATGTAGCCTCTGACACAGCACTGACCACACATTATTTTTTGTCATTCTCCTCAAGCTTCTGGACAGCATTTTAAGACTTGCCCAAGGGGTTGTATTAAGGAACCTAGTTCAAACATACATGCTTATTACTATTTTGACACTGACGTGTATCACAACTTAATCCTATTCGTATTTTCCGATATCAGGAGAGCTCTTACACTGAAGGAATAGTCTGATTCTATGCACAGTTTTCCGTAAGTCAGTTGGATGAGCTAGTCTCAGTTTAGGATGTGTGAACCAGTTCTTTGGTAAAACTTTAAGCCTGGTGAATCACTGCACCTTGGAGTTTCAAGGACCTGAAGCTTGTTTGTGGAATGCAAAGGCACAGCTTTTGTGGCATTCCTTCTCTACACCAAATATTTTAACTGAAGGCTAGTTGGAAAAACATTGTGTGGTTTTCTTATATGTTTGGACTCTTTGGACATTCCAGTCATTTTTAGGCACAGTTCAAATGCCTGAAATGCTACAGAATCTAAATGCACCTGACTTATACAGAATTGCTATTTATAAATCGACACTTTTAATATATGTTAATAAACATTTTTAGGCTTAGCAAAGCTAAATAAAGTGAAGCCGTAACACACATTGCCCAGTATCTAGAAATTAGAATTCAACCACATATCTCTATAGATTTCTTTCTGCTATGAAATTAAAGCGCTCATTTCACGGATGCTCTTGAAATGCTGGATGCAAAGGCCATAATTGTATATAGTAGCTACAGCCACGTTTTAACATGCATAAAAACTCTGGGCTCAGCCTACCAGAAAGTTCTCGTGTGCATGCTCCATTGGCAGGAGAAAAAGCTGAGAAAAGGTGGCTTTCTGGTGGACTTGGCCCATTTACTTTTTAAAGCAGCTTTGAAAACATGGTATGAATCACAGCAGCCTTCCCGAACCATGGTGATCTTCAGATATGATGGGGCTTCAGCTCCCAGAATTCCCTTTGATTATGGGGGAATCCAATACATTTGGAATGCAGCAGGTTGGGGAAGACTGAACTACATTTTAAGTTTAAAAGTACTACGTTTTTGAGACCAGCTTTTCCAGCTTGGTGCCTAACTATTGTTTTGGGACTACAACTACAGTCACTAAGCAGCACATCAATGGAAGCTGGTTATTATTTCTTTATTAAACTTACATGCTGGCTTTCCAGTCAGTAAGAACTCTGAAGGTGATTGCGTTATCTAATCCATGTTAGCAAGTACCAGGTTAGAGAAGGCTGACCTCATTAGTTGTTGTTGTTTTTTTTGCATATAATGCCACAAAATCAAGTTATTTCGCTTCTTACATATGTTGTATCTGTTAATTATTTTGCTACATTCTTTTGAATACAAAGCTTTTGATGACTGTACTTCAGTCCTGACATTTTATCACTGAATTAATATTATTTCATAACTTCTACTACTTTACAGTTTTACAGACATTTTTTTAAAAAAATGGAAAGGAAAGCTTTAAAAAAATAAACAAGATAAAAATTCATTCATGTCAAATATGTCCATCTCATTTAACCTTTTGATCCTTTCAGTTTTTGATTTTCATCCCAGAATCTATGATGCCCCTCATGTAATAGCTCACTCACAAATCTGAAATACATTGCCTAGGATCCAAGGAACAAATTATAAGTTGGTATCTTTGAACTTGATGAGTCCTTCCTCTGCAACATCCCAAACACCTTTGCAAGATAATCAAAGCATTGCAGAAAATCTCCAGTGTTGAACCCAACAGCAAAGTCCGGAACAACTACAGAAGTCCCAGCTGTGTAGACACGCGGCTTTTCACTGTGGCCATTTATTTAATCTGGTGATATAAATGGACTGTTAAGATGGAACAATGGACTACTGGAATGAATACCACAGCTGCTTTTGTCCAAGTGACAATCATCCTGACAATTTGCCTTCTTCAGGGACTAAGTCCACCTTAGGCAGTCCAGCAAGTTGATATCTATGCTGCTGTTAAACAACTTCATGAACGGAGTCCACTGCATTCTTGGTTACATTCTTAGATATTGCCAATTTTTTTATTTTGGGGGTTTAGAGGTATAATGCCCAGTAAGCACACACACACACACACACACACACATACTCAGGAAGGCTCAGGATCTTTGTCATCACCACTGCCTCATTTATTTGCCTTCTCCATCTGAGCCTAATTTGAACCAAGGGCCAGAAGGAGAAGTCAAGATAAGGGGAGGCAGCTACAACTTCTCTTTGCTTCATTGGTACTTGGTATTCTTTGGATAATAGATGAATTCACAGGAACAGTAATCAAGTGACAGGTGCTCAGTCGTTTGGGGTGGGACACCTTCAACGTAAACCTGGGTTGATGCCTGATGATGTTGAGTTAAGGTGCCAGAAGCTCTGCCTATAAGCCACCTTTGATATTTATAATCAAAGAACCCAAGTGTAGGCATGGAGAGTTTCATATTCATTTTGCTGAAAGTTATTGTAACAAATTTTCCATTCTCTTTCCTTTCCAGATTTCCATGCAAAAACACTTGGCATCTCAAAGGGTTGAATGTCTATGAGTCATACCAGATGGAGGCGTTGGACCATTTCTTTATCTTCTTTTCTTTTCGAAGACATCTGAAGGAATAAATAGTGTGCATCACTTCTGAGGCAAATACACTTCCAATCTGGGACTGGCCCAGGGCTAAGAATGCAATTTGGGTGTTAATTTTGGTACAAAGAGGAAGCCATACCTAATCTCCGCCAGCTAATCGCTTCTTCTGGCCAAATGAACCTTGAGCCTGTTTTCGACTTTGAGATGTTATTAATTAACAAAGAAAATTACATTTAAGACCCTAAGAAAAATTAACCAAGGAAGGCAGGCTCTATTGCGAGCAAACCCTCATTCTACTGGGAATGTGAGCCACGGCTGACTTTGAGGCTTCAGTTCTGCAAGCCAGGCACAGGCACTTTTGGTTTTCCTGATAATTGCACGAAAAACGGCAATTTTACCGATGAAATATTTAATGAAACTGTTTCTGCCCATTCCAATGTATTTCATTTCAGCCTTTTAAATCACAGTTTGAGGACCCACAAATAGCTTCCTTATAACGATGGCCAATTGTGGTATGTAATGGCACAGCACTCATGTAACAAAATACTGCATGAATCACTATTTCCAGCTGTTGCTCTGCTGGGCATTTTTCCAAAAACAGCTGTCGGCTGTAGGGACAGAGGGTTGAACCATATGGTCTTATTACTGGCCTGAATCTGGCATTGTTTCTCATTCTGAATAGGTACCATGCCGAACCACCAAATCATTGTCTTCTCATCCTGTTGCCTTTTTAAGTCACCCTATTCATAGGCAGCTCTGAAATCTTACCTACAAAATTACGCCACTTTATCATCACTCTTCCTAAGGGTTAGGGTATGTCTCTATACCTACAGTTCTTCAGCCTATTGTGATAAAATAGTCTGTGGAATGATGCTTTATAAGGAAGCCGAAGATCTTTGGAATCTTCATTAAAAAATATACAATGCTTGTGTTCCAGAATTTTAGGAAAATAGTGGGTTAAATGTAAAATACTTTTAATAAATAACTCCTCTGCAATGTAAAAAATAAATGAATATTCCCTTTGGCAGTAATAGCAGATATATATATATATATATATTATATGTGTATGTGTGTGTGTGTGTGTGTGCATTTACGTATACACACAAATATGTGTGTGTGCTTGCGCGCGCATGTGTGTGTATAAATATATGCACACTCGTGTGTCTGTGTACACCCAATCACACCCGAAGACATATATAGAAAGATACTTGGCTCATAAAATAATAGCATTATTTGACACGGGGGGAGAAAAACACCTCATATTATTTTCTTCTTTCAACACTCCTCTTTTTTCAGTTTCTGAAATCAAGATTTCCCATCAGTCCATCACCAGTTGGATGAAGTCGAAAGTCACTTATGTCCCAGGTAAGCCCCCAGGGTGATGCAGGCGCCCACCACTGCCAGACTAAGGATCGTCTTCAGAGGCAGCCATGACAAATCGAACAAAGGCCTGATGTTGTTGCTGTACAGCTCCACAAAGGCATCCTGTATAAAAGAAAAGGATAGGGAAAATGATGAGAAACAGGAGAGTACATGCTATAAAACATGAATAGGCATAGTTGGTATTTGTGACCGTTAAAACCAAACCAGCCTCCAAAACAAGTATCAAATATGACCTTTTCATTCTCATTCCTGGAGGAATCTCTTGAATTGTGGAAGAAACTCCTGCCAGGTGCGACGGAAGAATCACCTGCCTTTTAGCCAAGATTGAGCCATTGGCATTCTTAACTGTCAAGCAATATAATAAGGGCAGTTTGGTTTAGTGGTTAAGACACTAGCTAGAAACCAGGAGACCATTAATTCTATATGGGGGCACCTGCCCTCTGGAATGAATTGCCCCCGGAGATATGGATGATCCCTGACCTACGTGCCTTTCGCCGTGCCCTCAAGACATTATTGTTCCAACAAGCTGGGCTGGCCTAAACATGATTTTTAATGGTTGTTTTAGTTTTTTAATAATATCGGGGCCAAATTATTTAATATATTTTTAAATTGCTTTTAAATTTTTTGTATATGTGTGTTTTAGTGTTGGCTGTGCACCGCCCTGAGTCCTTTGGGAGAAGGGCGGTATAAAAATTTAAATAATAAATAAATAAATAATAAATTCTAGCCCTGACTTAAATAAATGCATCTTGGGCCAGCTGGTTGGTGATCTTGGGCCAGTCACACTATCTCAGCCCTAGAAAAGAGGCAAGGGAAACCACTTCTAAAATCTTATCAAGAAAACTGCAGGGACTTATCTAGGAAGTTGCTTGGTATCAATACCTGGAATGGGAAAGGGGAAGAAGAGGAGGAGGAGGAGGAAGAGGAAAAAGGAGGAAGGAGGAGAAAGAGAAGGAGGAGGAGGAGGAGGAGGAGGGGGAGAAGAATTTAATTTAATTTAATTTAATTTAATTTAATTTAATTTAATTTAATTTAATTTAATTTAATTTAATTAATTCAATTCAATTCAATTCAATTCAATTCAATTTATATGCCGCCCCTCTCCGAAGACTCAGGGTGGCTCACAATACATTTTTAAAAATCATTATAAAAACATCTAAAAATTAAAAACATTAAAAACATTAAAAACTCATTCACTCCATTCATGGCCGGATCTCGCCAGATCACAAGAGTCTTCACCGTTTTTCGGAAGGCTTCACCTTCTTTTCGGAAGAAGAAGAAGACGAAGATGAAGACGAAGAAGAAGAAGAGGAGGAGGAGGAGGAGGAGAGGAGGAGGAGGAGGAGGAGGGGAAGAAGAAGAAGAAGAAGAAGAAGAAGAAGAAGGAGGAGGAGGAGGAGGAGGAGGAGGAGGAGGAGGAGGAGGAGGAAGGAGGAGGAGGAGGAGGAGGAGGAGGAGGAGGAGGAGGAGGAGGAGGAGGAAGAAGAGGAGGAAGAAGAATTATTTCTCTATTAGATTGGATGCTTCCATTGAACAATGAAGCTGGCATGATAATTTGCTTAAATATTAGTTTCCAATGTTTATTCCATACAAATTCTCTGAGCCAAAAAAATATTCTATATTGTATAGCTTTTCTAAACCTCCCACCCTCCCAGGTAGGTTCCCTGGAATCGCCTCTTCTTCCAAATCACGCTTGTTATCCAACAGCAATGCCTTCTTGAAACCAGACATTCTTATTTGCTGCTGTTGCCACCAAAATTGTATTATATCTACCCAAGTGGACACAAAAATGCAAGTTTGCCTTTGGGGATTAATGCCAGTAACTATCTCCCACATCTGAATTTTGGTTTAGCCCTCTGAGCAGCCGTGCCGCTCAGGTAATTCAAGGAGCCTTGAGAATGTGCCTTACTAGCAAGGTAATAAATACAAATGATGAGAATAAATCTTCTCTCCACTTTAGCTGCACAACTCCTTCTCCTCTGTCCACTCTTCTAATCGAGAGAAGCATCAATAGCTTTTAGAAGTGACAGCAGCTCTAAAGATGAGCATGTTACAAGTTTCCACAACTCTGCTAAATGCCTAAGCCAGCAATTATTCTTGCTGGCACATTTAACAGCAGACACAAGATGGCGCATCATCCTTCTTATGCCATGCAGTTCAAAATCGAGTGAATTAAAATCTGAAGGAGAAATGCTTACATAAAGAAACAGTCAATTTTTAAAATTTATCTTCCCAAAAGGAGGAACAAATAACAAGCAGGCTAGCTTGTATTCTGGTTTTTTGGGGGGAGGGAGAGGAAACCATTATACCTTTCATACCAGGATTAGGAGCCTTTAATACCACTAAAATGGCCTGAAATCAAAACTACTTACATTTCCTTGTTTGTAGCATCTATGTACAATCTTTCATTAGCAATTTTACTATCTGTCCTTCTGCCAAGGATAGTACAAAGTTAAACACTTTTCTCTAGGCTTGCTTTTCAAGGCATCAAGAAACAGAATGGGAAAAGCTTTAATATTCTAAAATAACACTACATTTTGTATATTGTCAAGGGCATCGCTGTACCTTTCAAAGCTTGAGGGCTGGTTATAATTGAGATACGCAATCTAAGCTACATGCTTGCTGGCAAATAAAAGGGTTCAGGCCACATATATTTGTATAAAGTACCGTACTATCTGTCCAAACCAAATTCCAGCATCTCCTTAGCCAACCGTCTTCAGGTTTACTGTGCCATCAATTATCTAGGAGATTTACCCTGGTATCTAATTGAATGCAGTTATGCATGGTATGAAGTGGGAGATTCTTACAGGATTTACTACGTAATTATTTCCATCTATGATGTTGATGTTCTGATGTATGAATCATGAACAGGCAGTACTGCCTTGTGATACACAGCCTTGTGATAAAGATGTATATAAATGTCATTGTGTACCCTAGTTACTGTTGTATAGAATAGCCTTTTTGGGCTTTTGAGTACATTTTTGACTTTTGGTGGTTGATTGTCTACACTTTTCTTGGCAGGGTTGTTTGGGGTTGGCTGCCCTTGCCTTTTTCCTAGGGCCAAGAGAGAGTGACTGGCCCAGGTCACCCAACTGGCTCTGTCCTAAGACTAGATTAGATTTCACAGTCTTCTGGTTTCTAGCGTTTGCCTTAACCACTATACAGAATTGTCTCTATACAGCTTGTTTACTACTTAAAAAGACTCTGAATTTGATTCTTCCAAGGTGCATCAGAAATGCATGAATGTAGTGTCTATTCTTAACTTTTTAAAGCAGCTGCATCTCTTCCTGGGAAGTACCATATTTTCACATTCTCTCAGTCCAACCTACCTCATAGGGTTGTTGTTGTTGGAAACCTAGGAGGAGGAAGGTGTGTTGGATGTGTTTGCTGCCTTGAGTTATTTGTAAAAATAATAAAAATATAGCCCACTACATTTTGTAAATCCCATTACATTTTACATTTATTATTTTATTATTTATGTGTGGGTGGGTGAGTGAGTGGGTGGGTGGGTGAACCTGCCCTATTGATGCTAATTTAATTAAAGAAATGCTTAAAATGTGAAATTATTGCCTTGCTCTTCAGGACTCTGAATTTGTGGAATTGTGATGCAGCATAAATTGCATTGTCTTAATTATGTTGATGTAGGGTCAGTTTGACTGATGGAAAGCCATCTTATCTATACCTTCTCCCTTCTTCATATCCACATCACATCTACACGATCTGGATTTGACGAGGAAAAGGTGATTAGGGGTGGTTGTGGATTGGACACATAGCACCTGCTAGCTCTTTCTTAAATCAATTTCGTCTGTGTTAGGATTGTGCTGCAAGATTGTGTGAATTTTGGAGAAGACCCTGCTTCTTTACCGAAGTGATGAGAGGTGCTAAGGAAGCACCCCCGAATGTTGCAAGTCACCTTTTCTTAATTCAGTCAGGATTGCTGCATAGCTTTTAATCATTTGACCAGTCAGCCTATCTTCTATCCGGTGGCTCTGTTGCTGGGTTGCAAAACGGATTGAGTTTGCTGCATAATCTGGCTAACAGATGCCTCATATTACATCCCTTTCCTGAATCATTAATATTGATACCCTAATGTACAATCTGGAGTACAAGCAAATTGTGCAGAACTTCAATGCCCTTGCTGCAGACTTTTCCTCCCTTGATGATTTCATTTAGCACTTTGTTCTGATCAGGAAGTGGAAGAACTTGATGAAGAAGAAAAGCCAGGCTAATTTTACGTTCAAATGAATTCGCAGCGAGAGGACAAAAGCTTTAACTCCCGGATTCCTACTTCAATGAGAACTCATTACAGCATTAATTTTAATATTTTTGTGATACCTCTGTGCCCCATTAATCGCAATCACAAGCGTGTGGTTTGTGCCTAGCCTGAAGACATGCACACCAAAGATGCATTGTATTGACACAAAGAAGAGTGTCAAAGCTCAGAATTCTGGCAATGTATAAGAAAATACACAATGGGAAATTGCAGTTCTTACTGACAACAATAACATCAATGTCTATCTTATGGCTGTTGCTGCTCCATATATTTGGAAGTAAATATTTTATGGGTCCTTCCTTTCCTCTTTGGTGCTTTCTCAAACATCCTGATTAGACTTATTTCCGAAGCTTGTTTGAACAGCCAGTCACTATTTGTTTAAGTCTGAAACCTGATTTAAACAAACATCCCCACTTATAGTATTTTATGCATTACACCAACAGAGTTCCAAAGACAGAAGTCGGAAGTGAAGAAAGGTGATTGGGAAAGGAAGCTGCAAAACCTCTAGCATCTAGAGTCAAGTAAATTCTAACCTGTTATTGTTTCATTATGCTGACTTCTTAGGCTGGTCATAAAAAAACTTCCTATCAAATGACATTACTGGTCCCTTTTACTTTAAAGTAACTCTGCTACGCCTGGCACTGGCTTTACGCTTTCTAATCTCATTTCTTGGAGATTCCAGGGAATCAACATCAGATGATTGTATATCAAGAATATGCTGTACATTAGTAGAATGCAGATCTAGATATTATGTAGATTTTGGATGATTTGCAGTAACGGGGAGAATTTATTATTCATAATTGCATAAGAGTGACAGCAAACCCTTGTC